CGTTGCGTTCGCGGCAAATCTGAAACGAAGTCCATTGTAATGTTTTTCCACTTCCATTCGGGTATCTCAAGAGATTGTAACAATCCAGATGGTTTTTGATGTTCCGCCTTAACTTGTTGGCAGATGAGACATTTTTGCACGTATTGAGCAATTTCCTTCTTCATGTTATCCCACCAATAGGCTTCTTTTAGGTCCTGGTACATTTTGCTACTACCCGGATGGATCGTGTACTTGGACCGATGAGATTCCTCTAAGATCTCCTTCTTTAACATTTCATCTTTAGGCACCACCACTCAGTTTCGGTATTTCAAAATTCCCTCAGGACTTAGATTGAAATCTACCAATTCCCCTTTTTTCACTTTCTCTCCCCACTTTCGTACCATAGAATCTTCCTTCTGGACCTCTTTAACCCGCTCCAGTAGAGTGGACGTTATTTTAACATTACCAAAAATCACCTTATGACTTTCAAGACAGGGTTTCCACTCACAAACCGATTCTAACAGATCTCACTCCTTAATCATTAACTCCGCTACTTGAGTCTTTCGACTCAAGGCATCGGCCACTACGTTAGCTTTTCCCGGATAATAGTTAATGGTGCAGTCGTAGTCCTCCAGAAATTTCATCCACTGTCGCTACCTCATATTCAATTCCTTCTGTGAGAAGAGATATCTAAGGCTTTTATGGTCTGAGTAAACCTCGAAAGTTACCCCGTATAGATAGTGTCTCCACTTTTTCAGAGCGAAAACAACTGTGGCTAACTCCAGATCATGGGTTGGGTAGTTCTGCTCGTGGGGTTTCAATTTCCTTGAGGCAAACGATATCACATTCTGATTTTGCATCAGCACACACTCCAGACCTTCCCGCGAAGCGTCAGTATAAATGGTAAAACCATCTATTCCATTAGGCAAAGCTAGAATCGGTGCCATGGTTAATCTTCTCTTAGCTCTTGAAAACTTGCCTCACACTTGGCATCCCATATAAAACGACCATGTTTCTTCGTCAGGTCGGTCAAAGGACCGGCAAGCTTGGAAAAGTCCTTAATAAAGTGCCTATAGTACCAAGCCAACCCTAAAAAACTACGAATCTCTGTGGAATTTTCTGGCCTTTTCCAATCAGTCACGGCCTCTACTTTCGCCGGGTCAACAGTGATACCCTCTTGAGAAATTACATGCTCTAAGAAAAAAATTTTCTCCAGCCAAAACTTGGCATACAACTGATGCTCTCTTAAGATTTGCAAAACGATTCTTAAGTGTTGCTCATGCTCCTCTCGAATCTTTGAGTAGACCAAAATGTCATCAATAAAAACAACTACAAATCGATCCAAATAGGGTTTAAAAATCCTATGCATTAAATCCATAAAAACGGCAGGGACATTGGTCAACCCAAAGGGCATAACCGCGAAATTCATAGTGCCCATATCTCGAATTGAAGGCAGTTTTTGGTATGTCTTCCTTCCTGATCAGTAGTTTATAGTATCCCTGTCGGAGGTCTAATTTCGAAAAGACCACTGCTCCTTGCAACTGGTCAAACAACTCATCAATATGGGGCAATGGATACTTATTTTTAACCGTTACATTATTTAGCCCTCGATAGTCTATATATATTCGCAAATTCCCATCCTTTTATTTCACAAACAACACAGGGGCTCCCCAAGAAGACACACTCTCTCGAATGAACCCCCGCTCCAAAAGGTCTTGTAACTGCAATTTCAGTTCCTTAAGCTCAGCAGGTGCCATCCGATACGGGATTTTAAAGATAGGTGACGTTCCTGGTACTAGATCAATTTTGAATTCTATCTCTCTCCGGAGGTAGGACTATTAACTCACTAGAAAATACGTCTGGATATTCCTTCACTACGTGCACATCCTCTAACTTCAATTTATCTGTAGGGGTATTGATTAGAAAGACTAAAAACCCTTGCACCCCTCTACTTAGCAATTTCTTAGCCCGAATACCCGAGATCAAGGCAGATGAGGCTAACCTACCCCTTATATCTAACCTTAAGGTCGCCTCCCCAGGAATACGGAATTCTACCACCTTCTTCTTACAGTCAAGTTGAGCATTATACCTGGCTAACTAGTCCATGCCTAATATTACATCATACCCCTTAATAGACAGGCTTATCAAATCCCCTAACAACTTCCTCTCTCCTACCCAAACTTCGCAATCCTTATAAACCATACTAGCGACCAAACGATGATCTCCCGTAGGAGTACTAACTTCCAGGTCATTGGGTAAACTAGCAGGTTTTATATCTATTCCGCACATAAAATTGGGATTGACAAATGAATGAGTAGCACCGGGATCTATTAATACTTTCACAATCGGTGGAATCCAGGAATCGTACCTTCCACAACTTCAGAAGAATCGGGGACCTGTTGTAGCTCCAGTGAATACACTCGAGCCGCTACCTTGGGTTTGGTCCCTTCCACCTTAGCCGGTTCAGAATTGGTCTTGTCGATTGCTGGCTTCTCCTTCCATCTCGTGATAGAATCGGACAAATGGCAAACTGGTGGTCTGCACTTCCGCAATGTAAACACTTTGCCTCCTTCTTCTAGCAATTGTCCTCCGCGTGATTTGGCTTTCCGTAATACCCGCAGGGTCTGCGAGATGCAGAAGCTGAGCCTTTTTGGAAACCTCCTCTTTGGCCTCTCCCAACTTGGCCACCTCGGGACGGGCCCCCTCGTGACATTCCCGACATCCTTCCTCCTCCAGTTTCCCGTCCAAACTTGGGAGGAGTACTCTTATCCCCCTGCCCCGAACTGCTTCCAGGAAATCCTCGCTTTTTCGCCTGGAAGTTTCTCACTTGTAGCCTAGCATTCTCTACTCGTTGAGCCTTCTTCACTGCATCACTAAAGGCGTTAATCTGGGCTACAGCTAGATCCTTCTGGATCTCCACGTTCAAGCCCTGGACAAAGCACCTTATCCTTCGTTGTTCGGTCATAATGAGTTCGGGCGCAAATTTTGACAGTCGCGTGAATGGCTCTCGTACTCGGCGACAGTCTGGGTCCCCTGACGAAGCCAGATAAATTCGTCTTCCTTCCATTCTTGAACTAGAGGAGGGAAGAATTTAGCGTTGAACTCCCTCATGAAGTTCACCCATGTCCTGGGCTTTTGTTCTCGGTCCCATTTCTGTCTTATTACGTTCCACCAGGAATGGGCCGCCCCTTCCCGTTGGAAGACAGCAAAAGTCAACTACCTCTCCTCCGTATAATGTAGGGCAGCAAAGATGTCTGCCATCTTTTCTAGCCATCTTTCGGTCTCATCCGGATCGGGCCCTCCAATAAACTTCGGTGAAAAAAATTTTTGAAACCTTTCGAGGGCCCTATCCTCGCTTTTCACATGATTACCAGGGTTTTCAGGGTTGAGATTAGGGTTTTGACCCTATTGCTCCACCACATGAGCCAACAAGTCGGTCATTCGTTGAATGGCTGCAGCCACTTGCACATTCTGATCGACCTTAGGTTCAGGATTTGGTTCAGACATGGTTCCCCTAGTACCCCCTTCAGTCGTGGGTTGCCTAACTCCGCGACCACGACCACGTCCACTACAGGTGCATTCCATGGAGTTTAGTCAATCTAGGGTAAAACGTAAATATAACATTAAAGATTACGGTAAACGTAAATAAGGAGCCAAAAGATATTCGCAATCAAAATATATATACATATCACCCAACAGTATCAAACAAGTCACACATTAACAGTCAGTCAAATACAAACAGAAAAATTCCATGAGATAACGGCGTCATCAAAAGTTATATATACAAGCTAGTCCAAACGTACAAAAATGGCTAGCTAAAAGTTCTTTCCCTGATCTACTGTTCCCATGGGATCAAAAGTAGTTCAAAAGAGTTCTAGCCTAGTTCCCTACAGATGCCACAGACTCTTCCCCTTGGCTAAAACTAGGGGTACTCCCTTCTCCAGGTGTATCGTCACTAGGAGCCTCCACTTGCTCGTTGGCGCCAATCACACCTTGGATTAGCGCCTCACACTCGTTAATAATGCCGTCGGAACGGTCTCTAACCTCTCGAACGACATTGGTCAGACGATGGTTGACCCCCTGCAGCTGCTCTCTAAAAGCATTAGTTCGTTCTTGCTTCCTAGCTATGTCCTCTCGGAGCTCCCCTATCCGGTCCGCATGCATCCTCGTGATGCCTCTCAGCCTAAGTATCTCCGTGTGATCCCTGGCGACGGCTCGTCTAAGCCTCCTCCGTTCGCGTAGCACCGCCACAACCACATGATCAACGTAAGACTGGTTCCGGCAACGGTTACAACGACGATCCCAACTAGCGGTATACCAAAGTCAGATCGGACCTCTCGGCCTTTCTTGATAATCGATAACGCGAGGGCGTCGCTGAGGCGGTTCACCCCCGCCCTCTCTACTTGATCCAGTCATGGCCTACAAGAATAGCAAATGGGTTCATATCTTAGACAATGTAAACATAATCACACTTAACGGTACCTTAACACTTCCCTCACAGATCCTAAGGAACAAAATTCAAACTTGCCTAAGTCATTCCTAACTTAGGCTCTGATATCACCTGTGACAGCCTCACATTCCCCTAAGGCGTACCAAAAGGGTTAGCGGACTGCCTGCCCAACTCTCGTCAGGACTACTAAGACAGTTATTTATAATCGAAGATGTTCCGGAAGATATTAGCGCGCTCAAACGAATCAAAATCACGAAACATAAAATGAAAAATCGGACCAGCACATGAATAGTGCCGGCCACGTCACAATTCGGCCGGAATCTGGCCGGATTATTGGCTGGATTGGAGGTAGTGACCAACTGCCCGAATTCAAAATTCCAAAATTCCAAGACAATGCGGCCAAAAATTCGACCAGGATCTGGCCGGATTTGCGGCCGAATTCCCCTGTGCCATTCCCGCCAAAATTTTTCTTTTGTCGTTCAAAATCCGATCCTGTCCGAAACCCAACCGATTACCAACAAATCATATAAACCTTGAAATTTAACCTTTACAAACCAAAATAACACATGAGCATTACCAAACACGTTTATACACGTATAGTTGCAAATTTACAACCCAAAAGGAAATGTTGAATCAAAATACACTTAAGGTTTTCCAACCATCAAGGAGCTATACAAAAGAATAGTAATCTAGCTCAACTCTGCTTCAAAACCACAGTCTCCCAAAAGTTATTCATATCCCTGTAAGGAAAACAAAGGCAATAGAGTAAGCTTTCGCCCAATGAGGTACCATCACCCACGTAACGAAGTTCATATAAGCACCAAGCTACTCAATCCAAATACATTCAATAAGTGAGTCAACTAACACCACATTTCAATAAAGATTTTTAAAAGGATACGAATGGCTCTCAAGAGCTCTTTTCCTCGCTTGCCGTACTTGATCTCACCCTGTTGACCCTCCGTCAATGCCTAAGGAGTAACCAATACTGTAGACTCCACTTTCTTCAATTTCCTTCCACCTCACATACCCCTACCAGGCCCGAACTCCAACTAGTTCAAAATGGTAATACTCGAGTATACCGGAATCAAGAGTCTCATACCCAATGATTCCATAGAAACAGTCCCCATGGCTTATCAATCTCCTCGACCATGCCTTTGCTGGCTCGAGTCAATCGACCGCCAATAGGGTTGAGCTCAGAGTCAACAGTAAAAGTCGTTGGATACATGTCCAAACGACACCGGTTCAAGTATATTCAAGAGACATTCAATTGATACAGTAAACAGTCACATAAGCCATAGAGTGCGAGAGTGATAAAGTACACCCTCGTTTCAACCAATCTCAGCAGTATACACAAGCATTCAAATCATAGATTTCAAGTATAACAAAGCCATGAAGTAACAATCATGTGAGTAGTACACTCACCAATCAAACAAAGAGAGTTTTCACAAATTTCCACCCAACGATCGCCTTGAGTCACCGGCACACCCTAAAACATTCAAGAAAACACAATGAGACTCGAATACGAGTCATAACCCCAAACCACATATCACTAATGTAAAGCCAAAATAACTTGAAAGTAATATAAGGAACACTTGGTGCTAAAGGTTTAGATAACCCCAAAGTCATTAACTAACACTCTAGGCAGCCCAATTCCAAGAAATCATAGGGACCTAAGATTTGGACAGCATTTCCACTTAAAATTTCAGATTTCCATCCTACAATTCATCCTTCATTTTCAACCAACACAACCACAACTACAAGTACGAGTCCTCTGCCATTCAATACCCCTTATTAGGGTTACAATACCCTTTAAACAAAGCCAATTCAAGAGTTCCATAATAACCCTAGAAAAGGCCAAATTCAAAACCCTAAATCTGAAATTTTTCGCACAAACCAGAAATTTTCCGCAAATAACTACAATTAACACACCAAAGCACCACTTTAGACCATACCAAGCCATCATCCATGGCCAACCATCACTTATCATATAAAATCAGAAAAATCATGAATAAAATCATAAATTCATCAAACTCTATTAAAAATCACCAAATCTTCCACAAAATAACATCTTTAGCTACCACAAGTCATTAGTAAACCATTATTAAGAACAAAGGAAGAATTTCTTGGCCACTCACCTTGTAAACTCAAGAAAAGAAGCAACTTAGCACCTCCTCTTTCCAAACCACTCCACCAACTACCTTAATCCTACCTTACAAATGATTTTTATGGAGAAAGTTGGAGTTTTATCGGTTAGATTATAAGATTGAGCAAGATTGGGATGAAGAAAGTTGAAGGTTTTTCCTCTCTTTTCTCTCTATGGAGCTCGGCCAAATGGATGAAGAAAGTGATGAATTTTGGGTTAATTTTTGGTATTTAGTAAAGTTGGGTAAGATGGTCAAAGTACAAGATCAAATCTCAAAGTGACACTTGTCACCTTTTTGGTTCAAAGCTATCCTTTTGTCTCTCCAATGTTAATCCATCTAGGTGACCTCTAATTACCTCTTAACACCTAGTAAATTAATCCCTGTGTACAAAACTTAACCTAATTGGCCGAATTTTATTGCACTTACCGCACTAGCGGGTCTCACGCCCAGTATACACTTCTAATTTCTCATGAACTAACTTATACTAGAAAAATGATTTAAAAACTATATTTACTCATAAAAATTATCTAAAAAATTTTCCTAATAAGGAAAATATAGAAAATGCGTGAAAATAAATAAAATAAAGCCTAGAAAATAAGAAAATTTTCGAGTTCTCACACTCAGAAACAGGTAAAGGCACAAAATCTAAAGGTGTTACTGGCTTAAAACCATAAACAACCTTGAATGGTGAATATTGGGTAGTAGAATGCATAGTTCGATTACATGCAAATTCGATATGGGGTAAACATTCTTCCCATGCCCTAAAATTTTTATGACATTTGGACTAAAAGCAAGCATGAAATGTGTAGATTTGCTCAAGTATTACTTGCTTGGTGTTTATTTTTTTTAGAAGCACTACAAGTTATTATCACGCCCCATTTTTTGAAATAAAAAGATATTTGCAAAGAAAATATGTCTTTTATTTTACAAAATAAGTGAAAAGGGCCTAAAATCGAACTTTAAATAACGCAACAGTTTGGGTCCAAATTTAGTCTAAAGTCTAAAAAGGGTTTCTTAAGAAAATGAGAATCGCAACTTGATATTGAGTTTTAGGTATACCTAGTCACCTAAAAATATTTTGATCAAAAATAAAATAAAATAAAACCCTTTTTTATTACTCCAGGTATTCGAAAATAAGAAAAAATGAGTTTGGGAGTCACGGTTGAAGAAATAGAAGGCAAAGGTTTGATTAACTCAAATCTAAGACATCCTTTCAATCTAACCAAGGTTTGTTGCAAGATTTAACAAAAATTTTTCTAATATAACCTACAAAACTTATCATATTTGGATGCTTCTGTATGGTTGTAAACTTAGACCTAAGGGGTATCGAGAGGAATGAAATATCTTTTCGAAATTTAATTGGTGTAAATTACATTAATTGTGAAGTCCAGAAATAATTCCTTGAAAAGGTCACAAATATGCAAAAAATGATACTCACAAAAAAGAAAATTATGATATACAGATAAACATACATAACCTAAAAGAAGGAAAGAAATATAATGAGTGCGGAGGACTAAAATTCGTGACACAATTTTTCTTCTTATAGAAGGGTAATAGCGTGCTAAGATTAAAAAAAAAAAAAAAAAGCCATACTCATCCATTTCCCTATTCGAAGAGTGACTCTTCTAATCTAAATAAGCAAATGGACTAACCTATTTTTCTAATTATCTAAATGAAATACAGGTCTAAATGGTATAATTTGTGTACATAGGAATAAAAGAATAACAGGGTATACGGTATACCATGCAAATGGAAATAACCTAATAGTTGAAAAAATGGATGAAATGCAATAAAATCACACAAAGTATGAATCTAGCGCAAAGATAGTCTAAAGGGTTTAGCATTGGACTAGACTATTTCTACAAGTCCTCACTAGCGTTAGGCTAGTGAGAAATCGAGAGAAAAGCCACAACTAGCGTTGGGCTAGTATGATGATGTCATGCACTCATTATAAATAAATAAAGCATATAAAGCATAATTAAAGTAAATAAACATATAAAGCACATAAAACACATAATAAATAGGCATATTATCTAGATACAAAACTCTAGAGAAAACAAATAAAATACATAAGTACATAAACACATGAGCACACAAGACCTAACTATTGCATTGAGGGCCCTAACTACAATCTAAAAGGGGAAATATAAGATAATAAATCTATCTAACCTATCTATTACATTCATCTAGCTAATTACATTTTTTGCAAAATAAAACCTATATATTGTATCGCCTATCTAATTACATTTCTTGCACAAGAAAATATTACCTATCTATTACCATTTGGGCATTTAAATGCCTCCAAATGATCATAAAATCTAAATTAAATAAAAAAGCATAAAATGAAAAAAAAATGTTAAAATAAAAAAATAAAAGGAAAAAATACATAAAACATACAAAGATGTAGGAGCACATAAGAGGAATTTAAAGGATAATAGTGGTATCTCCCTTTTGAAACAACAACTAAGTGAGGGGAAAAGAGAGTTGTCTACTTTTTCAAAATTAACAAACAAATTAATGCATCAATTTAATTGACAACACTTTAAAAGAGAATGTAGACATATACTAAATTCCCCTTATTATTAGAAAAAATATAAAATAAACACAAAATATCTAAACTTTACACATTAAATGCACATTAATGAAGCATAATTAGCAATTAAAAAAGATAACCAATTGTAATTAAGAAATAATAAAAATTAGGGACTAAATTATAAAAATTAGAAAGTTTATGGGTCAATTTATAATTCTTAAAATATTAGGGACAAATTTAAGTAAAAATAAAGTTTAGAGACCAAAATGTAATTAAATTAAGGACCTAAGTGAAAGAAATTCAAAATTTTAGGGCCACAATAAAATTATTCAATAGATTTGGGACCAAATTGCAAAATTTATTTCTGATTTGCTAATATTACATAACAAAAAAGAAAGAAAAAAAAATGACATGTGCCTTTTCTTCTTCTAGTTTAGTTTGGGTCGAACCACTTCGACCCAAGAAAATTAAGCAAGATCGTCTTATTGAGAAAAACATCTAGGCTAACTTATTCTAGCATGCTCAAGCTTAACAAAGGTATTGTGCTTTAATCTCAAAATCCAACCACAAACCCAAGCCATAGCCCATTTACCAAAACTATTTTCATTATTTCCTAAAATTGTCTAATTAAAAAATCTAAATCCCACAAATTTTATCCAAAGGCCCGGTCATGCTCTATAGACCAGAAATAATTCACTCGAAACATGCACAAGACAAAAGAAAATAAAGACTTGAAAAAGGAAGAAATTCATTCATTTTTCACAAATTCTGGGCCTTAGTATAATTATACCAAAATTAAGGGGCAAGATGCAAACATTCATTATCATCAATGCAAAGTCAGCAAACTGGTGAAGAGTTTTGAAGGTTCAGCAAACCCAGGAAACTTGCAAATACAACATCCAAAATGATTACAAAAGTGTCGGGTCCAATTACGCACAAGATTATACGACCCAAGCATCAACGCAGGATCCAAACATCCAAATACAAGATTTAACACAAGATTATGTAATATGAATCTAAACTAATGGACCGCAAAAAGAAGAGAAAAACAGAAAATAAAAATAAAACATGTGCGACAAAGGCATTGGAGTTGCTATTTAATAGATCTAAATGCGGATCCAAGCTTATATGGAAAGAGAAGAATGAATAAAGTTACCTCTGATGCTTTATGGAGTCGGATAAACGTGAGATGCCTCAACAAAAACGCACCCAAATGCTGGAAATGAAGTAAACAGGTTCTTGTGGCAGAGATTCAAGAGGTGACGAAGCAGTGAATTTGAGCCTTGATTCGAAGGATCTAGAGACATTTTTTATAAAAATTTTCACAAAAGTTGTTCCCTGATGATCGTAGATGGTGGAAAAACAAATATCTCACTTAAAGGGCTCTAATTGAAGTCGAATTTTGGTCAGAACCAGGCCTGATTCATCAGCCCTGTGCACAGCTTTTTTTCCAGAAAATTTTTCTTTTCTGCCCATTTCTGGCTTTTGTTACTTTTTCGCTTTCCTAACTCTCTCCCCTCCCTAAAACCAGTGCCGCTAGCTATTTTAAATGGGACAGAAAACTAAAACCTAAGAAGAATGGCTGAGATTCAAAGGAAAGGGGTTTATGTGGCTATTTTTGGGTCCATTTGATTATTTTGACAGCTGCTGCTTCATGGATTTTGCATGATGAGGTGTATTAGTAGTTAATCTTAGGAAGAAAGAAATGGGAAGCAAAAACAAATTTTAATTGCCTCAAAACCAGCTGTTATTCTTGTACTATTGCTCTGGTGCAAAGGAAGAAAAAGAATATTGCGCTTGCACACATAAAGCTGCGTTTTTTTTTTTTTTTTTTGGGAGGAGAAGAGAAATGGGCCAATGGGCCTTGTCCTGTTTCGCCTTGGACTTTTGTTGGATTTTGGGGGGGATTTTCGGTTAGGTTTTGGGTGGAATTTTTTATTGGGCTTTTGGTTAGAATTTGATTGGGTTTGAAACAAAAGAAAATCTCTAATTTTTTCATTTTCATTTCTCCTTTTTTCTACAAATAATACAAAAATAAAAATGATTATTTAAACAATAAAAATAAATATGACTTTTTTTGGAAAAAAATTTTGAAAAAATTTTAGTGTCTATAGCTATTAAATGTATTAGTACATAATTTCTAATTTCAAGGATATAGAATTTAGTGTGGTTATGTATATCAAGTATTTTGATTATTGTATGCCTTGATGCTTATTCAATAATTAGAATTTGAGAATGTTTAATTATATAAGTTTGATTTTTGTTTGGTGCATGTGGCTTGTATGTTGACATTCTTGATTGCTTGGTACGTTGTGGCATGCTCATACTATTACATCAAAAGTATATTTTCATCTATCTCTTTACTCACCAACATTCTTTCTATTTAGGTTTTTAAGAAATATGAGAGCCCATACACAAGAAATGATGTTTTTCTCAATACCATAAACATAAGAAAAATAAAAATAAATTTACATATTTTTAGGAGTCTCTACTTCTGCAAATTGTTGATCTCTTAATAAGTTTAGAGAATTACAATCATGTGAACATTTAATAAGATGCACTTTAGCATTTCAAAGTAAAGCTTCTTGCTTTCACTCAAGATAGATCGTTAGTAACCTAACAAACTAAATAAGTATGCACTTTTAAAGGTCATCTGTTCCATAAATTATGCCTTTGTGACAATAGATGAACAAATTTATATAAATCTTTGCACAAGCATGCTCTCTCATCCATTCCATTGAACACTTTTCTACTAAAATTTATCATGGTATAGGCTAATTCTTAAGTATTCATAATAAATGTCTAGTTTAATCCACTATGATACCTAGCAATGTTCCAAGGTTTGGCGTCAAATTTTTTAAAATTTGACTTTTAATTTGCAGATTTTGTGATAAATTTGTGTATCTAAACACCAAGTAATTAAGATTCAAAAACATTAGTTAATAAGAAAATAGATTATGTATACTTGTTTTAAGATAAATATAACATTTATTAATTTTTTGAATAACAAGTATGTAATTAAAATTCTAGATGAATTTTAAAGATGGAAAAGGAATTTATTTTAAGGATGCTAAAATACATCATTTTTAAAGGTGACATTCAAAAGTTTCTATGACATACGGTTGCTCCATATTTTTAAAGGTATGAAGATTACAAAAACACTTGTTAATCAATGTAAATTGACTTTGAAACTAATAAGGTATTGACTTTTATACCTATACGGAGTATCAATATATCCTACCTATTCTACGCGATAAGATATATTCGTTTCAGGGTAAGTCTACTCATTTTATTATAATATATTCGCAATCTGCTAATACATTAAGAATGTGTTTCCCTATATCCATAGATTTAAAGCAATAAAAATAGTATTATTACGAGAAGGGATTAGAATCAGTAATTAGAGACCTGAATCTGGTAATTTTGTGTTGTATCTTTGAATCGCAGATCTCTTATTGAGAGAAATATTAATACTTCCAAAAGACTAGTGCATAGTATGTCTATGTATTTATACGTGCAACTATTGTCAAACCTTTATAAAATTACTAGATAAAGGTGCTCGTTGGAAACAAGTGCATGGGACATGATTCAATAAAAAAAAAAGAAAAAATTGTTATAAAACTAATAAAATGAGATACTATAATAGGAATTGAAATATTAGGGAAATGAGTAGAGGAATGGAGAATGATTTTCTTATATTCCAACTAATACAAAAGTCATCCCAAAGGTGTCAATGTACCTCTATATATAGGTACTACAAGATTAAAAGTATATCAATTCTCTTAAACACTCATTACTACAAGAACATGAATAGTCTATGAAACGGTTATTCCAATACATGAATGGATTTATGGATTGAAACTATTCATTCATTGTAACCACTTTACATAATATAGCAATGAATTATGAATTAATCCCTTTGGGATCAATGAATTATGAATTAGTCCTTTTGAGAATATAAATGGACATCCACACTTTTAATTGTTTCATAAAAGTCCCCCTTGGATGTCCGTTATACAAAAAATATGCCTCGTTAAAACCTTACTAGGGAAAAATCCATCGGGACAAAGACCCTAGTGAAGAAAAAAGAGTACACTATTCCTGTGTATTAATTTCTCCCCCTGATGCAAATATCATTTGAGATCTTTTAACCGTCGCATTCCAATATTCTTCATCAATTTCTCAAATGTTGCAGTTGGCAATGTTTTAGTAAACAAATCTACCAAATTATTATTTGATTGGATTTGTTACACATCAATTTCACCATTCTTTTGCAAATCATGAGTAAAAAAGAATTTCGGTGAAATACGTTTCGTCCTATCTCCTTTAATATATCCTCCTTTCAATTGAGATATACAAACTGCATTATCTTCATATAATATAGTTGAAAGATTTTCTTTTTCAGAGAATAACCCGCAACTCTTCCGGATGTAGTGGGTCATTGATTTTAACCAAACACAATCTCGACTGGCCTCATAAATTGCTATTATTTCAGCATGATTCGATGAAATGACGGCTAATGATTGCTTTGTAGATCGCCAAGAAATGACTGTACAGTCATATGTAAATAGATAACTAGTCTAAAATCTTGTTTTATGTGGGTCAGATAAATATCCAGCATCAGCATAACTGTAAGGATCGAAGACAACCAAGTAAAAGAGATAAACAATGCAAAGATCATAAACATAACAGTAAGTAAATAAAAGGAAGGAATTGCAAACCAATTAACTACCCAACTCCTCTTGAGCTTGTAGATTAATTCAGACAAGCTACTTCAAGTTGATGAATAACAATCACTCTTGTGTACAAAGGAAGGTTCACCTCCTCCTTGCCCCGAACTCCACTCGGTCAAGCCAGGACGTTTTACTATCCCTCAGGACAACCCTCACAGAGCTACACTCATGAAGTATTCACTCACAAATGAAAAGCTTACAATGAATCTCACACTACTAAGACTACAAATCTTCTTTGAAGAGTATTTTCTCATTAAAATCACTCTAGATCTTTTGTATCTTCAGTGTGTCAAAGTTGTTTGAAGTATCTGACCAACCACTATTTATATAGGATCAAGAAAGTGCCTCATTAATGCTTCCAACGGATAGAAAGTAGCGGAAGAGTCAACTAGCCGTTGGAGTATCGGACGTCCGATGCTTGCGTCCGATACTGTCGGACGTCCGATGCTTGCGTCCGACAGCAGGCGGTGAGTCTGAAAAATCTTCTTCAATTCTATCGGACGTCCGGTGCATGCTCTTTGTGCGTCCGACAGCAAACAAAGAGATTTGAGAATTCATCTCTTTTCTATCGGACGTCCGGTGGAGACATATTCAGCGTCCGACGGTTTCGTCGACTTTGAAGGATCCTATCGGACGTCCAAAGCATGCGTCCGAAGTTGTACAATGATTATCGGACGTCCGGTACTGTCTTCTTGATCGTCCGACAGGTTCAGCATACTCTGTCTTTTTCAAATGTGCTTAATCTTTGAACCTGATTTGTTTCATTTCTGAAAAAGCCTTTGAGGAGATATTAGCAACATCCATTTGTTTTCTAATCATCAAAAGTTAGGGACCAAGGTCAACATTCTCCCCCTTTTTGATGATGATAAAACAATGGATGAAAGAAAGAAAAAAAATTGAGCATATAAGCATAAGCTCCCCCTCACACAATGCATCTAAACTTATAATTTCAGAATAACTCCCCCTTACACATAGCATCCATTTCTCCCCCTTTTTGTCATCATAAGATGAAAGTAAAAATCAGCTACCAAAAACAGCAACAATAATAGGGAATCCAATAATCCAAATAAAAACAGAGAAATGACAGCAATCACAGCAAATCATCATCAGATCAGCATTATTCTTTTTTCACTCTTTTTGACATCATACAAATTCAGTAAAAGATCAATAAAAACTTAGTTCAAAACATCAGAAACATCAAAAGAGAAAAGCATTATGAACAAGAATCTCATCAATTTTACCAAAATCTTCTACTTGTTAGAGTTAGTATCATGTCTAACTATCCACATGTATTTCATGCCTTTTTTCATATTCCTTCTCACATAGCAATCACTTTTCATGTGACCTTTTTGACAACAGAAATTACACATAACTAAAGAGTTATTTATATGAACAGATTTAATAAATCTTACTTGTCTTCTCTTATAAATAGCAAATTCGTTGGAATTAGAATTCAACCTATTCTTTTGAAAACAGACTTGTTTCTTGTGTTTAAGCAACTCATTTAGACCATCCATTCTTCTTTTCAAATCACCTTGTTCCTTTTTGAATAATTCACAAAGTTTTATTTTTCTATCAAACTCAAAGTGTAAAGCAGTCTGACTCTTTTTGAAGTAATCATTTTCAGCTTTCAACTTGTTATTTTGTTGAAAAAGATTTGCATTATCTTGAAGCAAAAAACTAATTTTCTGTTTTAACTCCTTGTTTCTAGTATAGGATTCTTTCAAACTATCATGCAATTTTATAATGAAAGATTCAAGATCATCATCAGTTTCATCATCACTTTCAAATTGAGAGTTACAAGATGTTATCTCATCATCTCCAATGGCCATAAAAGTCAATTGAGCAGATTCTTCATCCTCTTCAATTTCACCATCGGAGTTGCACTCATTCCATGTGAATTGAAATTTGTTGAATCTTGGTTTTCTTCCTTCTTTCTTCTTTATCACTGGACACTCACTTGCATAGTGTCCAGGTTGGCCGCATTCAAAGCATTTATCAGCTTGCTTTTTATTGA